TCAAAACTTGATTGAACCATCTTTCTTTCAATACATTTTCTAGTGAACAAGGACTGTCTAAGAAGAGAAAGAAGTCACCCTACTCCAAACTTGAATCAGAGAGTAAAGACACCGAAAAAAGGGTAAGGTTTGCCCAGATTAATGTATGCTCTTCGTTTCCTCTATTTTTAAGGTGATTCCACTGAACTGCTTTGGGCGTCCTTTCTGCGTATAATTTCTCGTTTCAATTAGTGCGTGAGAGCGCGTGCACATAAACAGAATTTTAAAACAGATTTCCTTTAAGCTAAGCTCGATAGAGAAAAAAAATTCTCTTTCTCCTAAACAAGCACAGTGACCCCCACTTTATAATGCATAAGTTTAAATCGCAATTTACATCGCGATTTAAAGAAAAGTAACAAATTCCGCTGAGTTTTTTCTTTTTATTTGAGTGCTATAAAGAATACCTCTTTGGGAAATTACTGGCATCTGCCATGCAGCGAACTTTTTAATCTGTTTCATAACCTTTATTTCTTTTAGATTGAAATAGTTTATAAGGTAAGACCACATTTAAAGTAATAAATAGATTTTTTTTTAAATTATAATTCCCCTTACGGAAAAAGGAAAATCTCGCAGGTCGAATGGTTACTTAAACGGCCATCCATGTTGTGCAAAAAGAGCATAGTTACTGCCATCTTTTAGTCATTTTTGTGATATAGATAACATGAATATCAAGTGGACGAAATTTAAGACGGTCTTTCACACTCCTTCGTTTTCCATGGAATAACGTTAAATCCAGTTTTTTTTGTTTCTTCTCTCTGATTTCCACAGGACCCTTGCCCGGAAGAAAAAGCCAGTTTCCTCTCTCGACTAACGTTTTGGTGGCTGACAAGGTAATAGGGGTTTTTTATGGGTTGTGGGGGAGGAGTTGGGTTTTTTTTGTTTGCTTTTTGGTGTTTATATCCTCAAAACCTAATGTTAGATATTCATTTAACGTAATACCAAAACATCGAACCTGGCAGATGGGTATAATATTCTCGCACCGATATCTTTTCTGACTTCCGTAGATAAACACCTGGTGAAATCCGCCCGAACGTCAAATGGTTAATGAAAATAGCTTAATCTCTGTGAAGTGCAGGGTTTTGTAATCTTTTTTATTATTATTATTATTTTATTTTATTTACTCTAGTTTTGTTATTTCTTTTTTAAAGTGTTTTGTTGTGGAAATTTAGTCGAAATGACAGAATATCATCTCGTTTATCAAAGCCAAGAGCTCCCAAAATATTCTTTTGAATATTAATCAAAACAGTCGACCTCAAGAATTTTAATTTACGCTTTCCCCGTTCTATAATGCTTATTGCAAAGCATGCGGTTGCCTCTGAAAATACTTTCGTCTGTTGTTCATATACAGATTTCTCGTGCTTCAAATTCCTGATACCTGATCACGGGATCAGTGGATCATTTACCAGATGCCAAGATCCTGAATTCGAGATTAAACAGATCCAACCAGTTGCTATAGTTCATATCCTACCAGGCGTATGGAACTGGTAGAGTTTACTGTTATCTTTTATGTTGTTTCTATATCGTTTTTTAAACAAGTTCATATGGAAATCTTTATATCCAAATTTCAAATCTGTACCAGAACTTCAGAACTTGTTCTGAGGCCTCTCTCTACCAATTTCCAATGTAGTGCCTTTGGAGATTGTTTCATTCAAATTGCCTAGCCGAATTCTCTCAGGAAAAAAATAAAAAAGATGTTTAAGAGTCTCATCTGTATTAAAGTGAGAAGCAGTTTTATTGATGTTTAGAACTGATGTTGACTTAAGAATGTTTCTTTTAGACTGATCATATCGGGGTACAAGAGGCCCATTGATGACAGCGATTTATGGGCCCTGAGCGAGCGTTTCCGGGCTTCGAATGTAGTACCTCGCCTAAAAGAGTCTTGGACCGAGGAAAGAAGGATATGTTTTCAGTAAGAACTTTGGATCTACATGTATAGTAGATGTATAGTGATCGACATTTCACAAGACGTGTGACGTCACATCCTTAAAATAGAAAGCCCACATCTTCACTCGTGATTAAAAAAACTGAACTGGAAAGATTGCAGGTGTAATTATAATTATACAGAAATTACACTGTAGGTCAGGCCCGGGTTGTGAGAAAGGTGGATAATGCTGTTCGCGGATAAATCACTATCCAGCGGATAGCGTGGTTTGTTTTGTTAACACTTATCCGCTGGATAGCGATTTATCCGGTGGATAGCGTTGTCCAGCCTTCAAACAACTGGGGCCAGGTTCACAAGTAAGAACGCACTTTTAACCTAATTGAATTATCGTTAGCTGTTTGTAAATGGCACTAGTGTAATGAAAATAAGAAAACAAAAATGTCGACCAAGAATCTCACCAAGGTTATATTTTTACGCATCCTATTTTGTTTCCACGTTTAGTAGTTCAGAAGGTATTCATGAAATCATTGTTTACTCACTAGCTAATACTCGACTGCTACTACTACTACTACTGCTACTGCTACTGCTACTGCTACTGCTACTGCTACTGCTACTGCTACTG